ATAAGGAAAATTTAATTATGAAAACTATATCATCACTTTCATTAGAATACATTTTTTAAAATTTTATATTTTTTCACAAAATTTATAATAAATCTATCAATGAATAAATGAGGTTTCCTTCCTTTAAAATAGATACTTTCATAACCTCTAAAAAATCATATTTTTATGACACATTTAAATGAATTTAGTTTTGATTTTATTTTTTTAAATATTTATATAAAATAAAATTTAAAAAAAATATATTTTGATCTCTGCAATAAACTACTACAAACAACTAGCCTATTTTCAAAATGATCAAATATTTAAATCAAATAAATTTAAAAAGGAGAAATTTTGTACTAAAATAAAAAGAAAAAACACAAAAAAAACTATAAAATATTTTTGTAAATTTCTACTTAAAATCATAGAATCACTAATGTTTTTTTTCTATTAATTTTTTTACTTAATGTTAATGAATAGAATCATTCAATTTTTAATTATTTTTTATTTTTATTTTTTGAATTATAGGATTGCTAATCTAAGATTTTATTTTTTGACTTATGCAGAGAGAGAAGAATCATTTCGATATTTTTTAATCAATGTGAGAGAGGAAAATCATGATAATACGTGAGAGATGAATAATATTTATTTTTCTATTCAGAATTAAAGCAATGACGCAGGATAGAAGAATGATATTCTTTGAATCATAACTAATGCAAAGAGAATATTAATAAAATCACCAATATATTTTTTTATTAAACCGTGGAAAGAAAAATAATATTTTTTAAATCAATATGAGGAAGGAGAATAATATTAATGTCGGGAGATGAATCAGTTTTATTCGATAATCTAAACTAATATGGGGAGAATCATTTTTTTGCCCATCAATGATGGTTCGGGTTAATTTGGGTTCGCGTAGAGAACTGTATGTTCATGACCTAGTGTCATCAGGTTCGGGTCGACCCAACGAGTTATGACTTTAGTTTTTTTAATTTTTAAATTGACATTAATTCTTACATTTTCTATTTAATAAATTTAAAATATAAAAAAGTATTAAATATATTAGATTATTTTATTTTAAATTGTGAAGTAATTTTTAGATATATAAATCAATATAAGGAATTTAAAAAATATTTAAGTTTTAGAAAAAAGTAAGATAATTATGCAATATCATTAAAATTTTGTCTGAAAATATAAATTTATACACTAAAAACGAGTAGTAAAGTGTATGTGTTGGGTTATGGAACCCGGGGCCCTAGGTGGCTAGGCGGATGAGTATCGAACTAAGTATGAGTGCACGAAAATATGGGGTCAAGTAGACTGAGAATGGTATTGTGTTAGTGAGGATAATACTTAGAACGTAAGTCTCCTCTTCCCTTAAGGGAAGAGGTTTATATACAAGTTACAACTAGGGTTCTGACCGTTGGTCCGTAATCCAACGGTCTGGGCCCACTAAGATTGGGTTGTTCACTGGCGGCGTCCAACCACATAATTATCCCTAGGATTGCTATACAAAGTAGGTAACCAGTAGGGTGGCTATAGCAACTCTGCCAGAGGCATGGCAGGAGTCTAATCGTGGGCCCCTTGATCTTGACCACGCCAGCTCCCTTGTCTGTGTCTGGTCTGTCGCTGTTCATGGCCGAGCCGAGTATATGACATATATTCGGAAGTTCTCCAGACGGGAGACCGGCCGGATCGGTCTGAAGGTGACCGAGACTGCTGAGGCCGATCGCATGACATTTGCCGAGGCGATCTTTGATGGTCCTTCATCTTGATTTTTCCAAGTGGGCCTTGGCGTAGTTGGGTTGGGCCATTTTCCTGTTGGGCTGGATACCCCCATTCCCGGGTATCCATCAGTATGATTTTGAAAAATCCTTACTTTAGCGGGTCGGCCATTAAAAATTAAAAATTTGTTCCACCCGTGCATGGCACAGGTTAAGATACTAGTTTGAGGAATTGGAAGAGCATGGGATGGACGTGTGAATGATGGAGGTTACAAATATTTACTTTACTCCGTTATGTAAAATCTGACCTGAACGGTACGCGTTTCCCCCCGAACAAGTCTGAATTGAGTTGCGTTTGCGTTTTTGGAATCAGACAGTCAAAACGAATTTAATGACATGTTCCAATAATTTTTCTAAGAACTTTTATTTTCCCCAACTCCGGTCCGGAAGAGTAATTAATTAATTAAATTAATCAATTCTATTAGACCGAGTTGCAGAGCGTTACAAATTATATATAAATAATCTATATGTTAAGACAAATCAAACAAGATCACACATGACTATATTTAGGCTTACACATTGAGAGAATTTGATGAGTCAAAGTGTTTAAATTAACAGTTCCAAAAGTCAAAACTAGACGAATACTCTAGGACGGAGGGAGTATATAAATTTAATATCAATAGATTCATTTTAAAATAAAATTCTAAAGTAAGTTAATATTTTTATAGCATAAAATAATATATAATTAAAGATATTAATGATTAGAGTGGTACATTAGATATCGTGAAAAAACAAGTAAGAATAAAATATTTAAGATGGAGGGAGTATTTTTTAAAAATAGGTGAAGAGATCCATGTAATACTTAAGTCTACTATAGAACCATAGAACCATAGTTTTAAAAACCGGACCGGACCGGCCGGTTCGGACCGTGAACCGGCGAACCGGTGGCCCAACCGGTCCAGTCTGGCACCTTGGACCGCAACTTGCTTTGAACCGCTACAAACCGGTGTGAAGCGGAAAAAACCGCCGGTTCGCCGGCCAAACCAGTTTCTTTTTTTTTTGCGATTTTTTCGCCAAAAAATCCCACCGCACACGTGTTTGAACCCAAGACCTCATGCTACCAAGGTTAAATCCCTAACCATCTCAGCTAAAGTGTCTTTTTGTTACAAGCTCACTTTATAAATCTTTAATATTATATTATAAAAAAATTTTAAAAATTTCTTTTCATTTTAAGAACTTTATAAAATATAATATTATAGGGGTAAATTTCACAAATGGTACCTAAACTTTAGCTGGAATTTCGAATTGGTAGCTGAACTTCAAATCCTTTCACAAAAATCCCTGAACTTACACAATCCTTTCACTAATGAGCCATTAGCCCGTTTCTAGGTTAACTTCCGGTCATTAGGGCCAAATTCGAATTTTATATATTTTAAAATTTTCAATTTGACCCCATTTCTTCTTTTCTTTTCTTCCACGCCCCGCCGCCGCCGCCCGCCGGTCAAAGTTGCCAGAAAATGAACTTTTTCCGATTCCGGCGGGACCAAGAACCCCTCAATTGCAAGATTTGATGAACATTTGCAAAACCCCCAATTTTGGATCTAATTTCAAATTTTAGGGTTTTTTCGAGTAGAAAAAATCAGATTCGAGAAGTTACAGGCCAAATTAGACAAAATAGTTTGGATATTATTGATCCTCGTCTCAAAACGAAGAGAATGACATTGGTCCCGCCGGAATCGGAAAAAGTTCATTTTCCGGCGACTTTGACCGGCGGTCGGCGGCGCGTCCCGCACCTTCTTTTCTTTTCTTCTTTACCCCAGTTTAACTTTTAAAATTTTATATATTTTAAGCTTAAACCGGGATTACTGGCCTTCAATTGGATCTTTGCCCGATTACCGAGTAATCACTTTCCTAACACATTCAAGTCCCTAAAAACACTTTCCTAAACTTCAAGTCCATGATGAAGCTTTAAGGTCGATTTCTTGAGGTACCATTTGTGAAATTTACCCAATATTATAGCTATGATTCAAACTCAGAATTATTGATATAATTGATACAATTTTAAATATTATGCAAAGATTTCATTTCAGTGTTTTTAATATTAGATTATTTATTTGAAAAATAATAAAATCGACTCTTTGTTTATAAAATGTTTAATATTGTTTTTGAAATATGTAAATTTTATTGTTAAACTTAGTGACATAACTGAAGTAAATTAATATAGATTTGGTCAAATGTTATACATTATTTACTCTAAGTATTTATAAATAAGAGAGAGAGAGAGAGAGAGAGGGATAGCGAGAGAGAGAGTGTGTGTCTATATACACACACACACATATATATATAATTTTAAAAAATGTTTAAACCACCGGTTCGACCAGTTGAACCACTGGTTCGACCAGTAAACCAGTAACCAGTACCGAGACCGGTTCGGTTCTGAAAACTATGTATAGAACATATCTTGGCCATTACTTTAAATTCATAACTTTAGGGGCAACTCAGGCCGAGGAGCCTCCAATTTAATTTTATTTGTTGAAAAAGGCTAGGTATATCCCATATGTCCCTCACATTCTCCTTGTCCACATAAATTGATAATAAATTCAAAAATATAAATAAATAAAAATCAAAGTAAAAATAGGTGGTGGAGAAGGGCATGTTGTACATTTGAAGTACACATTTAGTTCACCCCTAGCATTGCTCTTATTTGTTTGTTGTATGTAATATATAACTATGAATTTGACATTTTATTGTTCTCAATTATTACTTCTATAATGTTAATTATTGTCAAAAAATTAATTGATGTATAAACTTTACTTCATTATAACACAGTGGTTCATTTTCCCCATATCGTGCAGGATCCCCTGATTCCTTGTGAACAATCCTGCATAACTTGGATCTTATAGGTGGATTCACTTATAGGAGGGGGAATGAGTTTGGGTCGGGAGTTGCGGGAGGGTTTACCAGAGGGATTATGGGGGTAGGAATCATCAATTTTATGAACGAAATTCCGTATGGGGACGGTGGCTTCTGTGGCCACGGAACCGGACCGTTTTAAGATATGTAGTTGATCAAACATTAGACTCGAAAAATGAATGGAATAATTAAACACAAATAAAATACGGAGTAAAATAGAATTAGTCTGTATTTTACCGGATGCATGTTTTATACTCGAGATAATAAAATAAAATTAAGAAAAGGGCGTTTTGGGGGGGCATAATGAGAGCACAATTCTCATAAAAGGGTTGGTGAGATTACAATTTAGAAAAACAGAATGGCAGGTCCAGACATGGGCACCATAACAGCTTCCTTAGAGAGATCTTTTCAAAACTGTTCCTTGAACTGCCGCCGCCGGGACAGTGGTTGCGCCGCCGGCGGACCAGCCGCGGCCCTCGGCCGGCCTCCCTCCATCTCCCACCCTCCGCCGCCGCCGCCGCCGGCGAACACCTATCCTGCAGCAGGGGATGCCACTCTGGAACTCAATTCCCAAATCTCCATGCCTTATCATTGGGAACAATGCCTTGATTTGGAGGTAATTAATTAATTAATCATTGTTATTTAGTGGAGTAAATGTAAATCTGTATTCAACCCAGATTTACTATCACTCTCATTAACTAATTCTGTTTTTTCTCTCCCCTCTTCATTGCATTAATTGCTTCCAAATTTGTGGAACCGAATCGGATTTATTTGTGTTTTTTTTTCTATCTTTTTTTCCCTGCCTAAAGATCTACAAGCTTAGATTGCTAAAAAAGTGGAGAAAATGGAGATGAAACCCATTTTTTAATTTGATTTAATTACCCAAAAAAGACAAGTTTCATGTTTAAATTCCTTAATATGAACATATATTTGTATAATTTAGACAGGGGAAGTATATTACATAAACTGGAGAACGGGAAAGAGAGTGAAAGAGGACCCAAGAATCACAGGAGAAGAAGAAGAAGAAGAAGAAGAAGAAGATTATGAAGAAGACGATGACGACGAAGATGACGTGAGCGACGGGGAGAGTGGGTCCTCGTCGTCGTCATCGGAGGAGTCAGCGATTTTAAAGGATGCCCACCGTCTGGGGCGGCCGGAAAACTCGACGGCGGCGGTTCTGGTGGTGGCGGGTTGCCAGAGTTGCTTGATGTATTTCATGGTGCCCAAAGAGGTGAAATCCTGCCCGAAATGTTTCGGTCAGCTTCTCCATTTCGACAGATCCGATCCCTCCTCCTGCCCCCCATAGTTCATATTCTTCTTCTTCTCTTTTTTTCCCCCTTAATTTATTTTCTTTGTTACTAATTATTATAATCATAATTATAATTATAATTATTATTAATTCCTCTGTTGTTTAATTCCTAGATTGGTACTGCATGTCTAGTTTTGCTTTTGGTAATTAAGTTAGAAGGCCTATAAAACAAATTAATGGTATTTAAATTAAACCAGAATCTTTAAAAAAAATTAATGATATTTTAACCAGCCTCTTAAGGTGTGTTTGGCTGGTGGAAAAATGTTAGGAGTGTTCTAAACATTGTTTTTGGATGAGGAAATTCTAAAAAAAAATGGATATCCTTCCTACTATACCCCTCTACTTGTTTCCAAGCATTGATGAAATCTTTTGAATGTGTCACTTTCTTTCTTCAAACAAACACACCCTTAATTTCTTTTTTTTTGTTGAGTGTGGAAGAAGAGTAATTCACTTTTTATGTTAGTTTAGTTTTTTTTTAATATTGAATGATGTTAAATCACATGTTTTATCATACTTTTGAAATTTACATTGAGTTTGTTGTTGCTGTTATTAGGTTAATCTATTCCTTATCTGAATTCAAGAAAAGGTATGTGTGGCTCATATCATTTATCTTTCTTCTAAATAAATTTTTATCATATTCAAAATATTTTATTTTTATCATTTACTTTAAATTAACAATTAAATTTATTTTGGAATATAGGGAATATTACACCCGATTACCTCTGTAACAGAGTATTTGTCCTATTTTAACTTTTTTAAGTCAATCATTTTCAACCTTTGATATATAATTAAATAAAATATATATTATATATTAATTAGATAAAATAATATTTTAAAAACATCTTATATAATACTCCCTCCGTCCCTGAGTGTTTGTCCACTTTCATTTTTGCACACCATCCAATGCACTCCTTTAATCCATTTTATCTTGTAATTTATATATTAGAAAACTATAAAAATTATATATTAATAATCTATATGTTAAGACGAATCAAACAAGATCACACATGATTATTTCTAGGTTTACACATTGAGAGAATTTGATGAGTCAAAGTGCTTAGATGAACAGTTCCAAAAGTCAAAAGTGGACAAACACTCAGGAACGGACCAAGTATATCTAATAAATTTGAATCAATAACTAATATTATTTTTATTTAATTTAGGATCAAAATTTATTAATTTTAACAAAAAAAATTTAATATGAAATAATGGGACTTTGAATATCGTGATTATCCTCAATATTCTTATTCTCTCCCTCCGTCCAACAATAATTTTTCCATTGCGCGTTATGATGTTTGACTAAAGTTATTTTCAAATCATTTTATATGAAAAATTATATGGATTTAAAATATAAAATTTATATATCTAAAAACCACATGAAAAGATTTACAAAATCAGAAGTGACATTATTATATTATTTTATTAAATGGATAACGAAAATATGATAATAATGTGAATAAAGTTTGATTTTGTAAATAATGTAGAGGACATTATTTTTGAAGGGAAAAGTATTTTGATTTTGTTTTGCTTTTATCAACACACTCCTTTCGGATTTGAACTTTCTACCTTTGACTTCTTTAGTCAAAAGTGCTAAAAAAGTTATTGATATTTTAAAGTTGATTTTTTTATAAAATACTCCGTATAAATCTTATAGTTTTATTAAAATATTTTTTTTTTACAGAATTCTATTTTTATATTATGAACTATGGAGCATTAATATAACGTAACTGTTGTCTGTTAGTAATTAAAATTTCTAATTTAAGAATCAAAATGGAAATCTCAGGGGGTGTTTGTTTTTCTGCCAGAAGACCTTCTGGCGTCTTTTGTCTGCGCCGCGCAGACGCGCGCAGATGATGGGCTCTGCAGATTGTTTGTTTTTTGGAAGACATTTCACTCAAAAAGGTCTTCCTGACATCTTCTTGAAGAAGACATTAACCAATGTCTTCTAACATCTTCTAACATCTTCTCCTTTTTTTTCTACTTCTCTTCACCACCACAATTGTCCACCGCCACCGTCCACCACTACCACCGTCCACCATCACCGTCACCGTCCATCACCATCGTCGTCCACCACCACCGCCACCATCCACCGCCACCACCACCACCGTCCACCACTACCCTCCACCACCACCCTCCACCACCACCACAATAGTCCATACACCACCACCGTACACTACCACCATTAATTTATATAGCAGTCTACAGACATTAAAAAAACAAACAGTCTTCTTCTTGCAGACCGCAGATCTTCGGTCCACCACTTCTCCTGCAGATGTCTACAGTAGTGGTCCGCAGACCTTTTCCTGCAGAAAAACAAACACCCCTCAGTGTTGTTTTCAAATTTGTATTAGTGTCGTTAATGTTAATAGCGGTCATCTTTAATTTAATTACGTGTCCACGCAATTAACCAAGTCAAAAACGAGGGAATTATTTAGCACTAATTACGCCTTTAGACCACAAATCTTTGGCCCTTCATTGATAAATATTACTAGGAAATAATTTTCTTATTTCCAATTAATATTCAAATTGGAATGAAAATTTTTAGACGAGTCGAATGAATACTATAATACTCTCAATGTCTCACAAATATGTTTCCGTTTTTTAAAATATTTGAAAATTAATTAATTTTTACTTGTCATTTCTATTGAATGTAAAAATATGTTTTCCATTTTCTTTTTGCATTTTGATATTTTTATTAAATGATGGGAAAGTAAAATGGGGGAGATCAGAATAAAGTTGATATTCTCCCCATCCGAAATTATTTGTAACGTTTGCTTTTTCAGTAATCGCGGGAACTTTTGTTTATTTCTATGTTTTTACTGGTTATTTGATAATATAAAATATTCTTGACACCTCTTATTTCGAAAAACTTTTCATGTAATTTTTTGATATATAAATTTTATATTTTATTTCTAAACCAATATGTAAATAAAATGAATCGAAAAAACTTGATATTTTACCTCGGAATTAAAAATGTGACAAATATTTAGGGACAGAGGGAGTAAAAAAGAAGGAAAAAGAAATGGGGTGTGGAGGGGTAAAAAAGGAAAAAGGAAAAGTGAGGGGTGTGTGGTTTGTCAGGAAGGAGACAGCAAAGAGGTCAGAATAGATTCTCCAGCAAACAGCAAAACAACGATAGTATCAGTTCCCACTTTATTCTTTTGCTAACCCCAAAACCCAACATGGCTGGCTAGCCCCCCTACTCCCCCACCCCCCTCCTGCCCCCCTGCACCATTCACTCCTTTCCATTTCACCCTTTCACTCATGCATTTCTCCCCCACCTTTTTTTTTTTTCGGGAAATGCTTGGTTCACAAACTCAAGCTTCACAAACTTCACAAACATACCATTTGTGAACTTCAATAAAGAAAATTAAATAGTCTAAAATAATTTTAAAATGAGAATTTAAACCATAAATAGTAAGTTTGTGAACGTAGCATTGCCCTTTTTTTTCTTTCAATCACCCATCATTTATTTTCTCAAAATGGAGAATATAATGATGATCAACTCCACTCATCTCTATATATCAAAGATTTGTATCCCATTTTGTACACTGCAGGGATGCACCAATATTCTGTGCTGGTGTAATGCTGATTTTTGTTAATGGATCAACATTAAAATGTTGGTGCATACTTTTGTGTCACTGTGAAACATCAAAATGTTGGTGCATACTTTTGGTGTACAAATGAGTTACAATCTTTGGAGTGCATGTAGCATGCTCCAATTTATAATCATCCCAAATTTGCGTGTCCCAATTCTTACCACCTCAGGATTATGTTGGGTTTGTGGAGACTTGGGCTTGATTTTTGGCCCGGCCATTTTACGAAACCCTAGATGCACTCTTCCTATATATATTGCATTCTTGTACTTGTAATCGGCACCACAAGTGAAATAAGAAAATCCTCCCGTTGCAGCTGTGGATTAGGGAAACCGAACCACGTTAAATTCTTGTGTGTCGTTTGTGTTCCGTTTCTCTCTTGATTCTTGCAGATTATTTGTGTGTGTTGTGTGTTTAGTTCCCAATAAGTGGTATCGGAGCCTCGTTGTACAACACGAAAGCACAAATTGTGAGTTGTCACCTAGGTTTTGGGATCTGTGAACAGTCGCCGCTGTGAGGGCCGCACCGGAGTGAGTCGCGCAGCAGGGGAGAGAGTCGCGGCCTTGGGGTTGCCTCGCTGCCGTCGTCGCGCAGCCTTGGTCTCCCGCCGACCACCGCAGTCGCTGGGTAGGGCTTCGCGAGCAGCAGGCCGCGCCGCCCAGATCTACGCCGCCTGTTCGAGAAGGGGGAGAGCTGTGCAGGTGTTTGCCATCATCTGCGAGCCGCCGCAGCGTCCCTTCGTAGCGCCGCCGTCGTCGTCCGGTGAAGAACCGAACCCACCGTCAATCCGCCGTCCGCGTGTAGTCAGGCCGGGTTGAGGAGCCGCCACCGTCCTCAGTTGACGCTGCTGGTTGAGAATCCGCCGCCGCAGTCGTGTAACCCGCGCGCACAGATTCGCCGGAGGACACAGGAGCAGCCGCAGGCAAAAAGCTCAGTCGTCCAGCCGCTGTCGCCGTCTCCCAGACCCGCCGTCGTCTCCTGGAAGCGCCACCGAAGCCATTCTCGTTTTGAGATTGTGCACAGCCGCGAGAAAAAAAAAGGTGTGAAGAAGGAAAAAAAACTACAGGGCCGAAGGAAAGAGAAAAGAGGCAGTGGACCTTTTTTTTATTTGGGCCGTGATTTTCTTTTCATTGGTGGAGTTTGGGCCTTTTTTTTGTTTTGGCTAATTTAATTAGTGTGGTGGGCTTGATTTTCTGACGAAATTACCAAGATCTGAAATTAGTTGTACCTGGTATCTCGTCTAGTCATTTGAGATGACAGAAGATGGGAAGTTCCGAATTGAAAAGTTTGATGGTACAGATTTCAGTTGGTGGAAGATGCAAATTGAAGATTTGCTGGTTCAGAAAGATTTAGACGTGGTATTGGGTGACAAGCCAGAAAAGATGTCGGATGCAGATTGGGCAGGTTTGGATCGGAAAGCAATGTCCGTGATCCGTCTCTCGTTGACCAAGAATGTTGCGTTCAACATTCTGAAGGAGAAGACAGCGAAGGGAATTATGGAAGCGCTGTCTAATATGTACGAGAAGCCATCTGCAGCTAACAAAGTTTTTTTGATTAGAGAGCTGGTGAACACAAAGATGAAAGAAGGCACTTCAGTTACCGAGCATATCAACAAGTTGAATTCGATCTTAGCCAGACTTTTGTCAGTGGGCATTAAGTTCGATGATGAAGTTCAAGCTTT